TGCGTGTTTTGAATATCTTTTATATTGCAAGTAAATGTTTACTGGAACGTCGCAAACAAACTTGTAAAGTTGTAATACAAAAGTCGAATTGGAATACTTTCCTAGCACTTAACTTGCCCACCCTGACCTGTAAGCTTTATAAGCGTGTCCCTCCTAAAATGACAGTTGGGCATAGCGACCTACCCTGCTGAACGACGACCTAGCCCACAGTCCAGAGGGGAGGTCACCTGCCATTCAGATCGGTACAAATTGCGAATGCAATGGCATATGTTTCCCTCCCAGGCAAGGTTTCCTTCAATTTCTATGACAGAATGCATGCCATGTACAATAGTGGTAATCCAACACAGGAGTGGATTCCACAATGTGGCTAAGTAAACTGCCTTAATACTACAGACTAACCGGGCTCTGCAGCCTCCTTCCCACATTTGCCCATCCTAATCTTTAACAAGGTAATCATTCCGTATTGATAGCAACATTTTTATACAATTGTAGTAATTTCATTTTAAATGTAAATAAAATACATCAATGAGTAATATTAAATATTTAAATTAAAAATATTGTAGTTAATGAACAATGAAATTACAGTTTAATATTTATCAAATTAACTAGATAACCTTCAATAATTCAGTGAAACTCAAGAGTAAATTTAAATGTAAGTGGGGTTCATTTAAATGAACAAGGCTGCAGTAATCCAGGAATATATTAAACTAAAGGCGGACCACTATCCTCCTAAAATTATCTGAGCGGAGCCAATGACTGCACGAGGAAGAATTATCCCTCCCAACCTACAAATGAGTGCATGTGGGGAAACTTTCAACTCTGCTTTTATGTAGTGCGGTTGATTTCACTTTCTTCTTTACATCCACTGTATTCATTTCTCTGCATCAGTTGCGAGGTAGGCTTGTTTGCGTTTGGCTAGTCCTGCGTCATCCGTCGTGCAGCCGGGAGAGGGAACGCAAACGGCCTGGCCTCCCTTAGGGCTGCCACGGACGCTGCGAAAGTCACAGTGCTTAGGAGAGGGCACGGGATGGGACGGGACACTCTCCACCCAGAGCACTCACCGATTCCAGGCTCCAACGGCGTCAGGCCAAAGCGTTGCTCCTCTTCTGCCAGGGGTTCTATGCTACCCTGGCCTGCGGATTGAAACCTGCTCTATCCTGTGCTAGCTGTGAACTTTTCACCGCATTTCCTCTTCAAAATTCTTGAAAATTAAAATAAGCAATACTCTAAATTCAAACCCAAATTTATTGATTTTCTAATATCCTGACATTGAATTTATTCAATAAACTACTTTCTCTTCGGTCAGTTCTAACCGTTTTAGAATATGATTTTAGTCGCTAATCTATATTTCTTAGAGACTTAATTTCTTAATTTCAAACTCTACTGCCAACGTTTCCCAATTCTCATTATTTTTGTAACTAAGATCATGTTAAGTTTATTTGAAAGCTTTATAAATACGTAATTTTAATCTTCAAATAATATTGGTCATATTAATTAGCTTACGATTTTATTCACTGCAGTTTTATTACATATTTAAAAATTAGACTTTTTAAATAACGAACGATAAAATTAGTTTTAAATAACTAAATTTAAAACTGCATTTTTTTACTTTCGACATTAGAAATAGTACAACTGCGCATTTCAGATTTTTATATTTTCTAACCACCTGGCAGGAACAAGGGACATTTAGGAACGATGAGAAGAAACGGCGTCGTGGAGATCCAAGGCCACACTGATGTGAAGTCCAGCTACGAAGCACAGAAAGTACGCCAAAACACTTACTTCTGAAGTTTCACAAGCACTTTTTTCACGAACTATTTCTTCAAATCACATCCAGCTCAATTTTGAGCGTGAAGACTCGCGCACTATGCTACATTTCCGCCATTCTTGCAGCTCACCTTTCACTTCACAACACTGAACCTGTAAAATGCATATCAGGAAACTCATTCCTATCTAACACTATTTCTAAAATAAATATCACAGATCTGCTTCAATGCAACTCAGCATTTCACGTGACACTCTACAGGATTTATTAAATAAATCAATTTGCTATTGAAATCTTCATCCACAGTCACTTTGCATAAATATTAATGGGCTTTGAATTACTCTGGATTGCCTTTTTAGACCTAATTATACGTCACACGCATCTGATCCAGAAATTATTTTACATGAAAAGGAATCTAACCACGGCCCCCAAGGCACTTCGAGAACAATCAGCAATAGCATATCCGTAACCCGCGCACAGTTCCCGAATCACAAATTCTCTCTCGCCACTGGCCACGAAATGAGCGAGAATTAGGCAGTTGCGGAGAGCGCTGGGCAAGGCACGGAAACCTGACGCAGCGATTGGCTACCACTATTCCAGAGTGAATACGAGAGCGGTTGCGAAGATAACTGCAAGAAGGAGGTTCAATTTAGAAGTGGAGGATTGGAAACAAAGATTATAATGAATATTACCCCAAAAGTGCATCAGCCTATGAATTTTTAATCGTAATATATTTCTGATCGATTCGTTTCGAAAATGTTTGTGAGATATATTCTCATACTTTCATTAGAGTATAAAGAACGTAACTATTAGCACTAACCGTAACGAGATGGTATCATTTATGAAAGAAATAACATTAACGAAAAGATTTGTAAAACGTATTTCAATATGCCTACGTAAATACAAGTATTTATTGAAATTGATTTATTGAAATATTTATATTGACGAAATTGTGTTTTGTTAAAAAGCACGCAATTTTTTGTTGTTCATATTTTCACGTTTTTGTTAATCATACTTTAAATGGAATGATATTTTGAGACTACAAAATAATAGCAAATGATTTTTCTCATACATAATTTTTCTGGGGGAAATGTGGAGCCATTCTTGGAGAAAATCGTTTCAGCGTTTCTCAAAAGGCGTAATTCTAAGCTATTTTTACACGAAAACTTTTGATATTTTGAGTTACTTCATTAGAAATCTTTTAAACCATGTATGTTCATAAATGCATTCAGTGACAAAATACACTTGTTTTCTTTGTATTATAAAGAACATTCAGCACATTCTTCTTTTGAAGCTGATCTGCCTTTATTGGCTGCTTCTTATTGCTTTTGATCTGCCTTTATTGGCTGCTTCTTGGATTGATTATAACGTATGTAATTGAGCCGTTTGACTTTAGCATACATGTCAGTGATAAATTGTTAATACAGTGGTGCTTCAGAATGGTACAGACTTTCCCGTATTACATTTCTATTTCCTTTGCTGTCGGCTAGCTATACTTGCCACATGTTCTTGGAAGCTACAATCTATCACCGCTCAAAGTACATTTTTTTGATATTTTCTTAATTTTTCGGTTTTCTAATAGTAGACCGGAAATATTATTTTATGAATATTAAAGAACAGTAAAACCTCGTCCTAAATGACAATTTCCCTTGAATTTTTTTTTAAAAATTTTTAAGAAAACAGTGCTTATGCGCTACTGTAAATTAGAAATTTGGAGCTCTTTCTCACATAATTTTTTTTGTTTTCGAAAAACTTCATTTGAAATCATTTGAAGCTCATTAACTCACAAGTACAGTAGTGTTCGCAAATTGCTGTAAATGTGCATATTAACCCGTATATTCCCATTGCCACCAAAATGGGGCAGTGTATTTTTCTTTTAATACTTCATCTCTTGGAAGGAATGAAGGAAAGATATGTATGCTACAATGTTATGTTGACAACAAAGAATGTGAATAAGTTCCCTGGTTTACTGTACAGCATTTTTCATTGTTGTGAGATGAACTATTAAAAGAAAAGTACACTGCCCTATTTTGGGGGCAATGGGAATATATGGGATGGGTTAATATGCACATTTACAGCAATTTGCAAACACTACTGTATTTGTGAGTTAATGAGCTTCAATTGATTTCATATGAAGTTTTTCGAAAACTCAAAAAAGTTCTTGGAAAAGATGTTTCAAATTCGAATTTACTGTAGCACTTAAGCGACATTTTCTTCTTTACTTCTTTCTTTCTTTCTTTCTTCTTTTTTCTTATATATTTTTTTCTTTCTTAAAAACTGCTCCAAATTTTTCAAAGAAAATTGCCATTTAGGTCGATATTTTACTGTTCTTAAAATAATATCTCCGTTCTGCGATTAGGAAACAGAAAAATTAAGAAAACTTAATAAAAATGTACTCTGGGTGGTGATAGATGGCAGTAGGCAAGAGTATGTGACAAGTTCGAATAGCTAGCCGAGTCCAATGAAAAAAAAAAGGAATACGGGATGTGCCATTCTCTAGTACCACTAGTTACCGTTATATTCATCACTGGAGATCTAAATAACATAGGCTACCAAAATAATGCAAATTATGACAAACCTCATCTGAATTATGATTTGGTACAGTTATTGAAATTCACTTAATTTTTTCCACTACAGTGTATGACAGTCATCATTTTAAGGTTTGAAAACAAAAACGATTCTCTTTTGTTTCTCTAAACTTATTAATATTATTGTTATTATTAACGTTATTACTTGTAAAAAGTAGTAACTACATCAATAAAGTTATTAATAATTGCGGTATTTAGATAATTTCGTGTGAAAATAGCAAAATATGCATAATTCTGACAATACGCTCTAAATATTATGCAATTATAAAGACTCCCAAAGTATGTACAAACAGGCACTACAAAAATTGCAAATCTCACCGGACAAATATTAGTCGGTGGACATTACAATATGCATATATTTAAATATAATAGAAAAAAGTTGTTATTACATAACTATCCTATCCCTAGTAATAATAATTGAAAATTGGGTATTTTATTGGATACTTTCTGACTGCAGGCGAAAATACGTTTCCATTGAAATACAGTCCCTAGTCACCACGTATATGTGATTATTCCGGTTCGATTCTCGTAATCTCTTCTTAAACGTGGGTTTTATCTTTGTGAGTAATTTGCACTTTGAACGATTGTCGCGCATGTCCGACAGATTTGCGCAACCGATACTTGAAGCTCATGACATTAACCAAAGGCAGTTAAGAGAGCGTCGTACAGTACCGATCGGCGGACAGTACTGACCATGCTAGTTTCCATTTCTGAAGGTAGATAGCAACACGTTGCAGCACTAGAAGGATCAATATTAGAAGCAGCCTTTGCATACTTCGGTGACCACTTCGTCTATTCAATATTTTTTGAGTCACGAGTAGATGCAAAGAAGACATACTTTGCAAGTTGGTTTGACACATGGTACATTGGAAACGCTGTTACTGTTTGCAGGTGAGATGTTTTTGATGGCATATGTGATGTAACGTTAATCTACTAATTTGAAAGAACATTTATTTGTTGTACATTGTCCATAATAAATGTATAATTGCCGACAACGTTCCTTTGTGAGTGTCGTTCAGTACTCATCATCCAAGAGATCTACAAAAGAACTTCTTAAATCGAGAGAGCAAAGAGGAAACAGAGAACTAAGTATAGTGAAATCGTAATAGAAACCATTAAAGAGTAATTGTTGTAGCGGTTGGGCACACGTTCATTGTAAATGGCAAGCCTGTAATGATGTTATAACTGGGGACGCCTCTACCATAATAACGTCTGTCTGTCTGTCTGTCTCTCTGTCTGCCGTTCCTCCATCCGTCTGTCGATCAGTCCGTCCGCCCGTCCATACGTATGTCTGTCCATATGTCTCTCCGTCAGTACGCCTGTCTGTCCGTCTCTCCGTCCGTCTGTCAGTCCGTCTGCCAGCCCGCTTGTCAGTCCACCTGTCTGTCCGTCTCTCCGTCCGTCGGTCCGTCTGTCCGTCCATCTGTCTGTCTACCTGTCTGTCTGTTCGACTGTCTGTCCGTTTGTCTATCCATCTGTCTGTCCGTGAACAACTGTAGCGGCTGAACCATTCAGACAATTTCCTCCAAAATTGATATTCCCTAATCGATCTGACTGATGTCGTTTGAATGTCCCTTGAATTTGAAACCAATATTTTTTAATATTAGGGAGGATACTTTACGTTAAGCCCCAGGGACATCCCCGATACCGAAAAGTGGATAATTCTTTCTTCAATACATATTAAAATAATTTCTCAAATACGTAATGTAATGAAAATTCACGTTTTGTGGGTCCTCGTTATCACAAACTTTAATTTTGGTAAAACGCCTGTCCGTGTGCCTATCCGTGCGTCTGTCAACATATTCAGAGGATTTTCATAAAATTTTATATTCTTTGATCTGATGTCTCAGACCGATTACTTTTACGCCCTCAAAAGTGATTCAGGGCATCAAAGATATCACTGCAATGCCTCTCACAGAAAGGTCCTAAGGTTCGAGTCTCGACGGTGGCAAGATTTTCGGCACTAGCTATATTGCTAGGTCGAATTCAGCTGCTTTCTGAAGGAGAATCCTGGCGGCCGGTTGCTCTGATCGGTAGTTTTCCACGGTTTCTCTAATGAAGACAAATACCGTAACAATCGGGCCTTGGTTCTTTCCTTCCTCTTCCTTGCCCTAACCTCTCCCATTACACACACGCACACACTCACATGCACTTCACTAACAAACTTGATGGGAGATCAGTCGGGAGCTTGGAGCCTGTCCCGGTCGGGGCTGGTGGGGAAATGGTTGGGGACCTTGTAGGGAAAAATCCCGCAAACCGACGAAGGTCGGCGCCGTATCTCGCCATCCAGCGGGGGCAGATCACCAACACCTCCCGCGATAAAACCACACACACTACACTTACGGGACTAAAGAGTTAAACCGTTGACGCTCCCGGAATAACCAATCTATCAATCAGTAAATAATTTTACGGATTGGGGACATTTGGCGGGTTCAACTAGTATTTCAATACGCAACAGTGGCAAATAATACAAGACATAACTTACTGTTCAAATATCACCATTTTTCTAATTTAATTTGATACAATATTGAAATTATTGAACATTTAACTACGGGATCTTAACGGAAGTATTAATTTTAGCAATAGCTGGAGAAAATTAGTTTTTGTGTGTATAATTGTCTTAAAATTAATTCGAATAAATGTCTTTCGATGTGTGTTTGTAAGACGATGACACTTCCGTCAGTGGAAACATTTCTCCAAGCACGCTGAAAACAATGTTTTCTTACAAACTGTTCCAATTCTTTTATCAGTGACTCACTTTATTATTATTAGATCTAATCTAGGTGAAAATGACGCAGGGAAGATTCCACCACAGTGAATCTTTTCCTTGGATCCTAAACAGAAGAAATTATTACTTTAAAGGTACAGAGGAAATCGCAAAAGTCAATAAGAAGGTCGTTTTCTTTTGATTATTTGCTTTACTCATATGACACGTATTGACAAAAATTCTATAAAATGAGAGGTCAGTGGAACGTCGTGGTGTAAGTGCAAGTAAATACAAAAAAGATTCATACTGGAAAATTACTGGTTGATGAAATTGATTGTTCAATTGCTGGCATGCCATAACACTTCCAAGGTCAGACATGCATCCTTACTCAAATACTGGTTGCTACAGCATAAGAACTCTGTTAAGGAATGTTCTCTTAGCCTCAGAAAAAATAGTGGAATTTATTTTTCTTGCAAATGCTGTAAAATATGGAAAGCGCGTGTACTTTTTTGTTATTTTTATGATCGCATCAGCATCTACGTCATTAGCCACCACTATTGTTTAGAACGTTATGGGTAATGTGAACGAGATGAAATGATATGGTGGTGGTGATGGGGGTTGAAAAAACGAACACAAATACAACCATACCCGAGACGGGTCCCAAACCCGCGATCCTTCGGACCAAGATTGCTACGATACTACTGACTCAGCGATCTCGACCACCGGATATGCGCATGTATTTTGTAATGGACAAATAGAAATTATTTCAGCTACTGGTCACCATCTATTTCATTTCGATGTAGATTGTGGCCAATAGAGGAATGTTTTGCCGAAGATATTTCAAACTTCCATGACGATCTAGAGGACTAAGATCTTTGTTACATTTTTGGGTATTATTTCTAGGACAACCAAGATTTTCCCTTTCCTGACTTTCCAGCTCCGTCTTAGACATCTAATTTCGGTATTTCCTTCCAGTCCACTATGAAATCTGCTGAGATTGTCACGTTCATTATCCAAATCCTTTCCAACAAAGCGTCGGATTTGTGAAAACTAAGATAGTGTGACCCAACCTCTGTTCTGATCGTATTTTGAAATAGCGGTATATTCGTATTGAGACTCTTGGCTCCGTTATTTTGGGTTCAGCTTCAATTGATCAGTTGCCAGTAAGGCATGTTTTCTGCATGTGTTTCAGTGCAGCACGGAGGCCTTTTGTTATATTTTCAATCTGCGCGTTCTTGATTCAGATTTAGTGATTGTTTCATATTCTTGTTTGCTTCACTTGCTCTCCTTAGTAGTCCTCAGATCTACTTGGGTTTCAATGGCCTTAGTTCTAAAGACCTGTTCTTGGGCTTCTAGGACCAATCGAACTTTCTTCCTTAAGAGAGGTAACTGCAGCGCCAATTTAAGAGCGCCAATTTGTTCACATTATTGCATTAAATGATGTCTTATCAATTTTCTCAAATATACAAAATTTTCGCTGAAAATAAGCACAAAATTACGGAGTTTCAGAAAAGCTCAAACGTCATTTCCTCAAAAACCGTTCCAAAGTTTTTCTTCGAGCTTTTTGTACTGATTGAGCTAAATCTACTGTATAAGATTACATTACATCCATTTTACTGT